GTAATAGTCACCTGCACACACAGATATCCCCCTAAAATAGCTAAAACTAAAAACAAACTAAAAACTACTTCCAAAAACATTCCGCTTTGATATTGATGAGTTTTTTGGGTTCACTGAGAACATGGTTGTTGTTCAATAATAAAATTATTCCTCAAAAATACAACTTGCCTAATAATTCTGCACTCCCTGTAATATTAATGAGGCAACATTGCTGCAATCTTATAGTATCTGCAGTAAAGATGTAGAAGCAGTATTAATTCTCTGAGTACAGTTCAACCACAACATCTGCCTGCTGTCTTTGTTCAGTTTGCAAAGAAATATGGAAACATTTTCACCATCAGACTCTTTGGTGGAAGAACCGTGGTCATTAATAGCTACAAGTTTGTGAAAGAAGCCCTGGTCCAGCAAGGAGACGATTTCATAGATCGACCCACCGTACCACTGTTTGAAGATTTATTTGGGAATGAAGGTTCTGTTTTTCTCTTTTTCATTAAAAAAAAAATATATAGTTAGTGTTGAATACAATGAACAACATAATTGAGACACCAAATCAGGGGTGTAAGGTAGTGTTTCTTATTCAATCTATTATTGTGTATTTGTGTGTTCAAAGGTCTTGTGGGTTCAAATGGTTATCCATGGAAGCAACAGAGGAGATTTGCTCTTCATACACTCAGAAACTTTGGTCTGGGCAGGAAGACTCTGGAGTTATACATCCAGCAGGAGTGCCAGTATCTCTCAGAGGCTTTCACAGAACACCAAGGCATAAAAAACATCTTGGTGACATGATTGCCACCATTCAATAGAGTGGGCTTGCTTTGTTATGACACTGGGTACTTGTCCCCATATTTTCTGTCTTTATTTGCAGGAAAGCCCTTTAATGTCCAGCTACTGATAAATAATGCTGTGTCGAATATCATCTGCTGTTTGGTGTTTGGGAATCGATTTGAGTACACTGACCGGCAGTACCAGTCTATTCTTCATAATTTCAACGAAAGATTGCGCTTACAGGGAAGCATATCGATACAGGTGAATCTCCTTCCACCATCCTACATTATGCAGTAATCAAATTACATCACAATTTATATAAAATCCCAAAGTCACATTTAAGCAACCACAGTCTCCCTACAGGGTTTCTAATTTATAATGAGGAGCAAAAACAAATACTGATTTAAAACACACCAAAGGGCAGAGAGGAGGAAGCCAAGTCCTGGCAGATGCAAAGCCCACAGATATAAACAAAATGTCAGACATTTAGAGACTTCTCCAGATACAGACAGACAAACTGGTGGTAGCTAACCAACCGGACATTGTAGTGGAAGACAAGCAGAAGCAGCAGACAGCCGTAGTGATAGACATAGTGATACCGAATGACAGCAACATCAGGAAGAAATAACACAAGAAGCTGCAGAAGTAACAAGGGCTCAGAGAAGATGTGGAGGGTGAAGGTAACGGTGATCCCAGTGGTAATCAGAGCACTAGGTGCAGTGACTCCCAAACTAGGCAAATGGCTCCAGCAGATCCCAGGAACAACATCAGAGATCTCTGTCCAGAAGAGCGCAGTCCTAGGAACAGCTAAGATACTGCACAGGACCCTCAAAACTCCCAGGTCTCTGGTAGAGGGCCTGAGCTTGAAATTCCCCCCACCTGTAGGGGTGGGGGGAATTTCTGCAGACATATATATATATATATGTGTGTGTGTGTGTGTGTATATATATATATATATATACTTCTGCTTGTCTTCCACTAAAATGTCCGGTTGGTTAGCTACCACCAGTTTGTCTGTCTGTATCTGGAGAAATCTCTAAATGTCTGTCTATTATTTTTAAATGTTACTAGTACTGAGATGAGACCTGAGTAATTGCATCTCTTTCTATCACATTTTCTTCATGATGAATAACAATAAAGGATCCTTAATCCCAATAGACATCATATTTGTACCTAAGTAGATTTTTTTTTATAACAATCAGCTTATAACGGGTAATATGTGGAGCCAAGTCTCTTCAAGTGCTTTTTGAAGCATGTCTTGAAACTTCTCATCTATATGACAACTCCTCATTTTGAAGCATTATCTAAATCAACTTAAATTTCAGTGAACACTGGGGAATATGAACTTGATCTCTCTCATTAAAACAAAAATCAAAAAAATGTTTGCTGAAATTGCCCTCAAATATTTTTCTCTTGGTAATTATATTTCTACCACCAGCTTTGCCACTGTGGAATTCCTGTTAGAAGTGTGTTAGATTTCAATTCAGAATTCTTTGAATGCACAGCATGATATGTCCAGTCATGAAAAGATGGTTTAATCTGGCTTCCTGTTCTGTAGATGTACAACATAATTCCCTGGCTGATGAAGTGGTTACCTGGACCTCATAAGACAATGTTCACTCTGACACAAGAGGTAAAGGACTTTATAGAAATCAGGATCAAAGACCACAAAGAAACCCTTAACCAAGCGTCACCGAGAGACTATATTGATGCCTTTCTTATAGAAATGACAAAGGTGAGTGTTGTATTTGAGCTCCATCATGTTTGTTCATTTTGGTGTTGTAATGCAACCTGAAATATAAGATATTTTAATTTCTGCTGCTTGGACTGTTGATAGAACGAGGGCAAAGATTCAAGTTTTTCTCTCAGTACCTTACATGCTTGCACCATGGACCTGTTTTTTGCTGGAACTGAAACTACTACCACTACTTTACGTTGGGGGTTGCTTTACATGATCTACTACCCTGATATACAAGGTGCGTGTGTAATACCCAACAGTACTATGTATTTTGTCATGTCGGTCTTGTACTGTGAGAAAAAGCATGCAGGTTGTGTTAGTCATCTACATAATACACAAAACAGAGTTTATGATAGTCTCATCATTTTTTTTTTAGCATGTTTTGATTTCTAGTTGGGAATCAGTTAGTTTCCAGAGTAGATCCTGGCATTATTTATCAGAAAACAGGAAGACCACATATGTGGTCATGAAGCTGACAATAAAAAATCAATATGTGAAGATAGCCGATTGACATTCATATAGACTTTCCACCTTTCAATAAACATATGTTTAAATGTTTTGTAGCTTTTTGTGTTGACAAATATTAACAAATTCACAAATACTAAAACTGAAAATATATTTCCTGTTTATGTTTCTAATTATGTTTGATCTGAAGTTAATAATTCAGTATTGGTAGTAACTGTTTTTTCTTAAGTACGTTTTTATTTTTACATTAATAACCTGAAATTGTTTCTCACTGTCAATTTTAATTTTTCATTTACTTTTAGATAAATATAATAACCTTGATACAGACTCTGATTCTATCCTGTTTTCACTTGCAGAGAGAGTTCAAGCTGAGATTGATGCTGTGGTTGGTTCGTCCAGACAGCCCTCTGTGAGTGACCGAGAAAACATGCCCTATACTGATGCTGTCATTCATGAGATTCAGAGAATGGCCAACATCATTCCTCTCAATGTGCTTCATATGACAGTCAAGGAAACTACAGTGGATAAATACACAATCCCAAAGGTACACAAACCATAATACTTTCTGGCAGTTTCGCTGTAGAATAAAGTATTCCTTGTCTACCAATTTAGCAACTTGAAGCTGACTTGAAAAGTCAATCCTAATGTTACACTTAAAATAACCAATGAAGCAGCTTTAAAAAGCACATTTAAAGCCTGGTATAAAAATAGTGTAACACTCACTATCAACTGTACTCTCTTGATGTATGATCAATCATCCGGGTAAGTAAATCCCAAAAGGTTGATACCACATGGACCCGGAAAGTAAAGTGTATTTGTGATGTAAGATGGTGAAAATATTCTTCTTCCTCAAAATTATCCAGATATTATGCAGTCCTTAAAATGACTTATGTAATGCTTAAATAATTCACAGTACCATGCCTGTTTAGACTTCTCAACAATATATGGTAACTTCTGACTCCTAAAAAGTAACATGGCAGCAGCCAAAATGCTAACCCATCAAAATGCAGAGTTTTGTAACTACACAGTGGCTGAGTCCATTTTTAGTCTGTGGTTATGTGCAGAATAAATACATGAGGTCCAAGAATAGATCTCTGTGGCACACCTGTGCTAATGGATTACATTAGTATTACATCAGGGCTCTGTATTACAGTGATTCATGACTACACATAAGGATACTCTTATGGCCCTGCATAGACTGCCTTTTGTCCTGCGACAGATAGAGTAGATGTCAAATCATATGGCCACTATATTATCAAAACAGCAATGACTTAGCATGGTTTCTCTCTAGTTTCTCTGAAATACTGTATGTAATGACAATGCAACTTCAAATCAAATAAAAAGGTCAACTTCATTACTGTTCTCATATTAACTCAAACCAATAACTAAAAATGAGAAATTAATGTGAATAGACACCAGAATATACACTTGTAAAAATTTGAAATTTTGAGAAAACAGATTAATTTTTTAACACCTACGATTAAAGGTTAAAAACATCTAAAACAACCATTGCACTTGTCCCTGGTTCTTAATTAACAGGCATTATACACTTTGTAGTTTGACACAATTGCATACTAAAAAGCTCTTTTGGACATTTTGACAATGTTACGTTGCCTTTTTCCATCAGCTCACTTTCTGTTATATGGCAAATTAAACCAATATACTTGAATAACAATTTTAATTTTTTTTTTTATTTCTTTCAATTTTAGTATTTTGGTTATTTTTATAGTATTTTTTGTGCAGGGTACCATGATCGTGGCTACTCTGGACTCAGTCTTACATGATGAGTCAGTGTGGGAAACTCCACACTCTTTAAACCCTCAACACTTTCTGGACAAGGATGGTAAATTTCGCAAGAGAGATGCTTTCCTTCCATTTTCTGCAGGTTTGTTGTACATTAAAGCCTCTTGTACTGTTTTAGCCAAGACAAAATGGCATGCATCCTTGGTTTGTTGCAGAAGTGGAGTAAACTCTATGATATAGTGAATATCTTGTAAATTTTTTGAATAAAACTCATGTCTTATTGTTTATTCTCAGGCAAGCGTGTGTGTCTTGGAGAACAGCTGGCCAGGATGGAGTTGTTTTTGTTTTTCACCTCCCTCCTTCAGAGGTTTTCTCTTTCGCCACCTACTGGAGAGCAGCCCAGTCTGGAGTTCCAGTTGGGAGCCGCACGCTGTCCCAAACCTTACCGCCTCTGTGCTGTACCACGTTAAACCATCAACTATGACAAAACTGAAATTGTCTGATACTCAGTTTGATGAATCAATGTCCTCCATCATATTTGTCATATGAAGCATTATCTATACCTGCTAAATTCTTCTCACCATGGAGACCTTTTAAAGGAACCATTCCATCCATTGTATTAAAACAAATAAAAATCTGAATATTTACAATATTAAATTACAACTTTTTAAGAGATCACATTCCACTGCATATGCATGATAATCGCTGTCATAAGCAAACATTTACAAGGACTTCAGTAAAGACAATAAGATAAATACAGCAGGACAAAAAAAACAGTATTCTGTTTTTAACGTTTAATAGTACTGCAGAGATATTTACATAGGATTCAAACTTTAATTTACTAAGTTTAATCTACACTTGAGTCAGTGTCTACATTGAAAACAAAAGCCCACCATATCTTGGTGGATTTGCTTGTATGTCGAGGATCAATAACCTATTTCAGTTCAATTATCCAAAGGATGATTTCACATAATCTTTAAGTACTCTATGAAACAATGCTTATTTGATTCAGTGTTTTGAAGTTGCTCAGTGCTTGAGGCAGGAATGCAATTCTATAATTTTGCACCACTGTGCTTGATGATTACTCTTAGATTCTGTCTTTGTGTCGCACAAAACCACTCGCTGTGTTTAGTCAGTTTTGTTGGCACTGACGGACCCTCATGAAACAGTGACCTCCTGGTTAATGAAGCTAACACTCGTCAATGATGTGTTTAAAGTATTTTAAGATTCTGGAAAGATATCAGAATAGTAAAAAAAAATTATGCTTGCCTTGATGGTATTTTGAAGGTGTTCTGCTAAACGTGGTAATCATTATCTTGATTTTCCCAATTTCTTTAAAAGAACCTAAGAAATCAGTTGTTATTCTAGCCTCTCTATGATATAACCTAATGGGCGGGTTGATTACCAACAATCTTATGTCACTCTTAAACAAGAAGGCCCTTTTAAATTCACAAACTATTTTGAAAAGTATATAGGTTTATGTTTATTTGGATATCAGAGGAATGCAGGCAAACCAGGTGGTGACAGGGTGATCTTAATAACCATAATAATTTATTTCAGTTGGTGTGAGTGTTTTTATTTTTCATACCACTGCTTGTTATAAAATGCACAATGTCATAAATAAATAGATTTTCTGCATGCACTTGCCTTTTTCATTATGAGCTTGTGTCAGTGGTGTCAGCTTTAGTCTTTACCTTGGCAGAGGGCAGTAATACGATGAATGACTGGACTGACAGCTATCACTAACAGCTTGTAATCTCCCTACCCCAACTGTTAAATAATGTAGAGGAACTCCCCCAGAAAATGTCTTTCTTTACAAATCAGCTGAGTTGTTTAATTTGATTAATGCTTTTTCGCATCATTCACTGCTGATTGAAACAAAAATCAGTGACAAATAAATTACAATAAGTACAGGAAACACGTGACACGCCAAACAAACAGAGAATGTATCATTTTCAGATGTATGATCAATTAATATAACATATAGGAAAATCATAAAAACTGTTAGATAAAGCTTATTAAAGCTATACATGTTAATAATTTCTGTATGTGTGATGATGTGACATGCAACGTTTCCTTTACACTGGGCCATCAGTTAACAAGGAAACATTGTACACACACACACACACACACATAAACACGCTACGATCATCGTAGTAAGATACTTGTTATTGATTTCATGTTTTTATTAAATGCTTTTATTTTGAAGGCCAGCTATCGAACCCACTTGGTTATATAATCACCCACCATTATATCCAGTGGTGAAATCAAAGTTAAAACAGTAAAGTGACACGAATGAGCGGAACTATGGAGACATTATACAGCGCTCTCGGCTTGGAGTGGGTTGACGGCAGGAGCATTTTATTCTTTTCCTGTCTTTTTCTTCTGCTGGCTCATGTTCTGAAGAACCGAGTGCCGAAAAACTTTCCTCCCGGACCGTGGGCTCTCCCTTTTATTGGTGATCTTCATCGCCTGCAACCTAACAGATTCCATCTGCAGTTCGAAGAGGTGTGATACAAAGTAACGATTATTATTATCATTCTTGCTGTTAAGAAGAAGAATATATTCATATAGAAAATGGGGCGACTCGTTTACTGCAAATAGGTAGCTAAAATGGTGCTATAGGTTCCCTTTATTCCTCCGTTATTGGTAATCATTTAGACTTAGATTGGGCTACATGGGGCAGAGCAGTTTTTTTTATTAGACTTTAAAACATTCGGTAACATAACCAGTGTTGCCAATTTAGCAACTTTGTCGCTATATTTAGCGAGTTTTCAGACCCCTTAGCGACTTTTTTTTCTAAAAAGCGACTAGCGACAAATCTGGCGACTTTTTCTGGTATTATTGGAGACTTATTTATGACGACTTTTTGACGTGAAAGGGCGTGTTGCTCTTACTCTCAACAAGCAGCGGTGCTGCCGTGGGCACCTCACCCGTGCTAAAGCGCTCACGGGTGGAGGATAGTCCTCCCCCAGCTGCAGGAGATGAATCGCGCATGAGCGAAGCCGCTGCTTCCGCACTGTCTGTAACGCAGTCAGTTCTTTTACTGTTATGCTGTTTTGTGGATCACAAGGTTTAAAACTACTTATAAACACACACTCTCACACACAAAGTAACTCCACCAGAGTGCCTATTTCGGGTCACTTTTGCCGGTCGAAGCCCGAATAAAGGAGCAGGGTTGGAATTGTGACATTAAAAAACAATAATTGCTAAAAGAAATTAAGTTTGTAGTTCTAAATAAATTCTAAATGCATTTAGGACGTTTTTTGCTAACTTTATGTCTCTTCCCATCTTATTTCTCTCTCCAACAGCGTAGGTTACCATTATATTAGCATGACCAATTATGCAAATTAGGTGATGACGTCATCTAGCGACTTTTAGGACAGCCAATAGCGATTTTCCTTACTGAGGAGTTGGCAACACTGAACATAACTAACAGCCTACAAGCTTAGTGTGAGCTGCATTTCAAGTCGCGGCTATTGTCCTTTCAGCTTCTACTTTTTGCTGCCGAGTGTCCCGTAAAGAGACATTAAATATTTGTAAGCAAGCATTTCTGTTTTATTTTATTAGCTGCTTTCAGTTCTTGTTTTTTGTTTTTATTTGCTTGTTTTGTGGTTGTTATATTTTTTGGGACATGGTATCACATGTCACACTTATCACAGCTGCTACAGTCTTAGTTTTCTTTTGGTAGAATAAAAATGTAAAAGTCAGCTGTATCAGAAAAGTTATTTCTTTTTAAATTATCCTAAAATATGCAAGTGTTGAATAACAAGCTAAATCTACTGTCGATTCAGTTTTCAGAGAAATATGGAAACATTTTCAGCCTTCGACTCTTTGGTCATAGAGTTGTGATCATTAATGGCTACAAGTCTGTAAAGGAAGCCCTGGTCCAACGAGGAGAAGACTTTGCAGATCGTCCCATAATTCCTCTGGTTGACGATGTATTTGGAAATAAAGGTGATTTCATTTCTTTTAATTACACACTTAATATTGGAGTATCAGATGGGCACCAAGTTAGATTTATTAGCGTGACGATGGTGATCAACATGCCTAGTTTCTCTTCCAGTCAAAATATTTATATTTGTATATGTTTTTTCAAAGGTATTGTAGCTTCCAGTGGTTATCCATGGAAGCAGCGGAGGAGGTTTTCTCTTCAGACACTCAGAAACTTTGGTCTGGGCAAGACGACGTTGGCAGAATTCATCCAGCAGGAGTGCCAGTATCTCACAGAGGCTTTTGCAGACCAGCAAGGCATTTAAAAATCACACTGTTTGATAGTCTAAGGAACTTGGAAAGAAAAGTGTCTGGACTTCTTTAAGTTCCTTGAAGATGTTTCACCTCTAATCCGAGAAGCTTCTTCAGAATTGAAGAAGCTTCTCGGATTTCCAAGCTCCTTAGACTATGATGACCTGGATGACTGAGAACCTTCACAGACACACACTGTTTGATGATAATTTTTACATTTTAAATGTTTGATAATTGCTTATGACCTTATCTAATTTTCTGCTAAACATATAAAATAGAAAATTGCTAATTTTTCTTATATAATTCACGCTTTTTTGGTAAACATCAAGCAAGTTTGTCTTCTCTTTGGACATGGAGTCCATTTTCTGTCTCATCCACACTTTATTTTTATTTACAGGAAAGCCTTTTAATGCACAGCCATTGCTAAACAACGCCGTGTCAAACATCATCTGCTGTTTGGTGTTTTCAAATCGATTTGAGTACAGTGATGAGAAGCATCAGTCTATTCTTCAGGACTTCAATGAGCTTTTGTACTTGGAGGTAACCATGTGGGCACAGGTGAGCCTCCTTTAAACCAGGATTCAGTAATCTAATTAAAAGGATTTATGCAAATGTATGTGTCATATTTATTTGAATCACATTATTATAAAAGGCTCTCCTTGAATTGTTCCCTTCCTGAATTGTTCTGTGTCCCAGTGATTTGTATATTTGTAAATCATACATAGAGACCACTGATTTAAAGCATCTAAATCTTACTTGAGTCCAGCTTTGATTAGGTTGTTTTTTTGTTTTTGTTTGTTAATCAAGTTTGACTATTAGTATAATGCTCTTTTAGGAAATACTGTGTTAGCTTTATGCCATATTTTGTCTCATCTATATATTTTTCTAAAGGTCTTGAGGATCATCAAGATGTTGGCAAATGTGAAACAAGCCTTTTGTGTTCTTTTTGGGCAGCAGTGGTTTTGACAGTGAAATTCCCCCATGCAGTTATTTAGGTGTTCTTCTGGGTTCTTTTGTGACCTCCTGGGTGATCAGTGGTGCACTCTTTAAGTCATTTTGGTAGGCCGACCACTCCTATGAAGGTTCACTACTGTTCCAAGTTTTCTTCATTTGTGGATAAGGGCTCTGATCTTTTTTGTGGAGTCCCACCGACTTAGAAATGTCTTTATAAGCCGTTCTCAGGTGCTTTAAGATCTTTTAGCCTCCTTTACTTTGTCAGACAGGTTCTATTTAAGTGATTTAAAAGGTCTTTACAAAAAATGGGATTAATCATAGTCAATTCATGATTTAACAAGAGAGTTCTTTACTTTTTCACATAGGGACATACAGTAATGTGGATCTCTCTTTGAAAGCTAATTAATTTAGTACATTTTTATTAAATAAATAGAAATGTCATAGATATATCCACGCTGTCTGACAAGTTAGTGACTGTCCTCCTGCGCTGTAGATGTACAACGCAATGCCCTGGCTGATGAAGTGGGTGCCCGGACCTCATCAGAAGACATTTACTCTGGTCAAGAATATAAATAATTACATAGAAAACAGGATCAGTGAACACAAAGAAGACTTTAACCCATCATCTCCGAGAGACTACATCGACTCCTTTCTCATAGAAATGGAAAAGGTGAGTGTTGTCCTGCATCTCTGCTGTTTTTGTTCTTTTTACATTTTTAATGAAATGTCATCAGATTTTTTTTCATCTTTGCCTCTAACAGAATGAAGGCAATGATTCAAGTTTTGATCTCAGTAGTTTGAATGCTTGCACCCTTGACCTCTTTGGTGCTGGAACTGAAACTACTACCACTACTTTATACTGGGGCCTTCTGTATATGATCCACTATCCTGTCATACAAGGTTTGTGACTGAGTAATAGTCACTATGACTACATATTCTGCAAGTATCTCAACTTTATAATGACAGCGGCCTCTTATAGGTCAGCCATTTATATAAAAATTGATTGTTTCTGATGTGACATTGTAATGTGTGTCTCTGTTTAATTTTGTCTCTGGATTGGGTTTTCTCTCAAGTCTATTTTATATATTTACTTAGATTTGAATTGTTTTCTCAACTTTAAAAATCTTGACGTAGACTCACATTATTAACTGTGTACAGAAAAAGTCCAGGCTGAGATCGATGCTGTGATTGGTTCATCCAGACAGCCCTCTATGAGTGACAGAGAAAACATGCCTTATACCAATGCGGTTATTCATGAGATCCAGAGAATGGGCAACATCCTCCCACTGAGTTTGTCACACATGACAAACAAGGATACAATACTGGATAAGTACACAATCCCAAAGGTACTCATGCTAAGAATTATTTCACCAAAGCCTTTTGCTTGTTTTTCTGGTTTCTGGTCATATAGCTACTGAATAACTCATTAAATTCAGCAAGGTGTTTTTTTTTCAAGCAACTTAAAACAAAAAAAAAACCAAAAAAAAAAGTTTTGCACAAAAATTAAGAAGGAAAAAACCTAAATAAATGCAAGGGGACAAAGGGTAAAAAAAAAAAAACAACCACTGCATTTTGGTGCATCTGTTGTTAAATAACAAGTGTTTTACAACTCATAATACGATACAACACATTTAGTAGCTCTTTTGGAATATCCAAATAATAATTGCTCAACATATGTAATGATAATTCGTTTCTCTATCAGCTGATTTTCCATCTAACCTGTTTAATTATTTTGTTCTTAAAAGTTGAGATAATTTTTAAACAAACACAAATTAACTTACCTGTTTCTTCAGGGCACCATGATCCTGCCTATATTGCACTCTGTACTCAATGATGAGTCAATGTGGGAAACTCCACATTCCTTCAACCCTCAACACTTTTTGGACCAGGATGGTAACTTTAGGAAGAGAGAAGCCTTTATGCCTTTTTCTGCAGGTATGTCAAGAGGGCAGTTTATCTCAGTGAACGTATTCTGTTAATGAATATGTAGGCAAACAACAAGAGAGGTGTTTGAGCAAGATATGGTAAAAGAAGTGTTACATGTTTCTGCTTGCTGTTAACTGTTCGTGAGCACCGACTTATATCTACAAACAATTTCTTACATCACTGAGTTTGCAGGGGATCGGTGTCTCTTTTGTGTGTTTCAGAGCTGTAGTAATAATCTCTGTAAGATGAAAGCATAGTGACTGAAACTCTTATTGTGTATTATCAGGCAAGCGTGTGTGTCTCGGGGAGCAGCTTGCCCGAATGGAATTATTCCTGTTCTTTACCTCCCTCCTTCAGAGGTTTTCATTCTCGGCACCTGCTGGAGAGCAGCCCAGTCTGGAGTTCATACTGGGAACCACCCGTTGTCCCAAACCTTACCGCCTTTGTGCCGCGGCACGTTAAATCATCAAGTATAAGCTAAACACGTCTATTTCTTACAGTGTACATTTGTCTTTCATTACATTTTATAATGTCAAGCAGTTTCTGTTTCATCATTATCTATTTCTATTATGTTATGAGCCAGAATGCTGTTTAATAAAACCTTTAGAAATTACATACATATATACTGAAATTACATATCTGCTGTATACAAACTGTATAAAATTCTGACATTATAACACTTTTTAATGATTCATTGTTGAGTGATAATCTATGTGCCACTGTGAAGCAGTGGTTTTAAATGTGCTGAACAAATAAACATGACCTGACTTGAAAATGTGTGCGTGAGTAATATATATTCATCTTTCACTTAATCCAGTTTTGATTGACCTAATCCTTCTTATTCAGTCTGTTTTTTATTAAAGTTCACGCTGCTGTCAGTTTGAGATGTCCTTGGCATTTCTCAATGTTTGTATTGTCCAATACAGTTTTGTATTCCTCAGCCATTACCTGGCAACAACACAGTTACAACACTATAAAATGCCCATGTGAATCTGATGTAGTAGTTCTACTCTTCGAGGATCAAGTTGCAGCATGATAATAGAGAATATCTGACTTCATAGTATGACTCGATTCATGCAGCTCAGCGTCATTTAGGGTTCATCGTTTTTTTGTGGTCTCTAACCTTTTCCAGTATCGACTGTATGATGTGTGTCATATGACAGTTTCCATTATCTAAAGGTCTCTGCATGGCTGAAAGGTGCCTTGAAAGTGTGTCAGCAAATTCAAGCAGTTTTCAAAGACATACTTTGCCTGTGCACTGAAGTTTGCTATTCTCATTAACAAAAAGCCATTGCAACAGTATCCTTTCAAGTGTGGAAACAATGGCTTGTGGTCTATTTGGGTAATGAAATGTACAGGCTAAAGTTATTTTGGGAGCGCTCTATATGCCTAAACCACAGCCAAGCACTCCTTTTTGATCTGTGCATGTCTGATTTTGGTACCTTTTAAGGTGGCAGCCTCCCTCGTTGTCCATCATGGTCCTATAGGAGAATCCCTTCCCAGCTTATTGCACAGAAGACTTAATTATTATCACAAAGGCTAGTACGGGTGCATCAGTTAAGAAAAAGGACCTTTTAAATCCTAGACCTTTGCCAGACATGCGTCACTGCCTGGTTGTGTGTTTTCTGCTAAGTCATTCAACTAGTGACCCAGATCATGTACCACACCTTGAACAGCTCTGTGGTTTGTGGTAGCTAAATGTTTCTCATGCCACTATCTTTTGTGGCATCAGACCTGACACAGAAAAAGATGCGCATGCACATTCACACCAGTATTGTACTTTCACATCACGAGCATCCACGTGTCTCCTTGGGTCTGGGCATTGTAAATTTTGTCGTCAGAGGGTTAACGCAAGCCGTCGCTGTACTTTCATGGGTGTTGTGACCACAAAGTTGTCCACAGAAAAACTGCACTACATAGGTTAACAGAAGTCACCCAGGAATTAATGGTGTAAAAATCTGGAAGAATGGAAAGTCTTGTGAATTTGTGTGCTGATGACTTGCTTGTCTGAACCAACAGTGTTTGTCCCCTATCTCCTGGAATGTATCAAATCATTTAGCGTGCTGTCGGGAAATTCAGCTGTAGTAAAAGTGAATTTATGCCACTCACAGATGATTTGGGGGTACATTTCTGATTTTTCTACTGTTCACATTCCTTGTTCTTAAAACTCCCTGTAAACCCAAACTCTTGAGGACTCTCTTATCTTATCCATTTTTCCACCAGTGTCATTTATTTAAAAAACAAAACAAAAAAACAACTGGATTAATAGTTTGCATTTTCATCAGTCATATTTTTATCACTACCTTCAAATCAGACATTTTGGATGAGCTCTGTTCCCAAATTCATGCTTTTTTAAAATAAGTCATGTTTTTTATGACCTCTTCTCAATGCCACAAACTCCCAAACATTTAGCTTCCAGTTTTCGTTATGGCAGTTAGCACAACCATGTTAGTGAAGCCTTCACCAATTAACTGAAGCGTGATTTCAGATGAACTTTCAAAAGAGAGCCTGTCCAGTATTCAAAGGTTTTTTGTCAATTCCAGGTTGATTGAATTTAAAGTCTTGCATAAGCTCCACTACGCCAAGACTTAACAAAAAAAATGGCACTGTCTCCCCCATGTGTGACAAATGCGGTATTGCAAAAGTGTCAGTGTCACACATGTTGTGGTCCTGTCCAGATATATTTGGCTTACCCAAACAGTATGGTGTGTTCATTAACCTGGAGTGTAATCTGGAGATATTTGGCTCCTATGATGGGACAAGAGCACTCCCATTTAATCATAGACAACCTCTGAGGGAAGGCCTCATTGCTGCTAAAAATATTCATTTTGCTGACTTCATTATTTATCTCCTTGGTTGGGTTTTTGTATTTAAAAAAAAAAAAAGGATAATGAGCATAGACATCCGGTCACTGTATGACAAACCACAGTCCTGCTAATTTGAGTAGCAGAACTAGACGTTTCATTGCTGTTTATGGTGCCTTTTGGAAAGAGATTTTTGACATCTCTTTGTTTTTTTTGCTGCACATTTTGGCAGAACAACCCCAGGACACAACTTTGGGGTGTTTTCACCTCCCTCCTTCAGAGGTTTTCATTCTTGGCACCTGCTGGAGAGCAGCCCAGTCTGGGAACCACTTGTTGTCCCAAATCTTACATCCTCTGTGCCGTGGCACGTTAAACCATCAAGTATAAGCTAAACACATCTATTTCTTACAGTGTACATTTGTTTTTTATTACATTTTTCATGTCAAGCAGTTTCTGTTTCACCATTGTCTATTTGTATTATGTTGTGAGCCAGCATGCTGTTTAATTAAACCTTTAGACATTACATACACTATTATACTGTATACAAATATAAGATTCTGACATTAAACTACACACTTTTTAATGATTCATTGTTGAGCCCTGACTGTGAAGCAGTTTGAAAGACCTTAAATGTGCTGAACAAATAAACGTAGCCTGATGTGAAAATGTGTGTGTGAGTAACATATATTCATCTTTCACTGAATCCAGTTTGGATTGATCTAATCCTTCTTAGTCTGATTTCTTTTAAGTTCACACTGCTACCAGTCGGAGGTGCCTGCCCTGGGCATTTCTCAATGTTTGTATTGTCCAATACAGTTTTGTGTTCCTCAGCCATTACCTGGCAACAACACAGTTACAGCACAATACAATGCCCATGTATGGTGTGTTCATTAACCTGGAGTGTAATCTGGCCATATGTGGCTATTATAATGGGGCAAGAGCACTCACATTTAATCAAAGACAACCTCCAAGGGAAGGCATCATCACTGCAAGAAATATTCATTTTCCTGACTTCATTATTTATCTCCTTGGTTGGGTTTTTGTATTTAAAAAAAAAAAAGATATGGGCATAGACATCCTTTCACTGTATGACAAACCACAGTTCTGCTAATTTGAGTCACAGAACTAAATGTTTCACTGAACTTAGGGGAGAAAAACAAACCAAAACCTTGATTCTAACAACTAGGAGTGTAATCAAGGCTTTATCTGGACTTTGGGCTGGGTTATGTACTCTCGGGCATTGGGTTATATAATATTCTGTCCCTGTAGCTGAACACTGAGTTACTTTTGCATAACAGAGTAAAGCTATGGAGACAATATACAGCGTGCTCGGCCTGGAGTGGATTGACGGCGGGAGCATTTTACTATTTGTGTGTGTTTTCCTGCTTCTGACTGATTTTTTGAAGAACAGAGTGCCAAAAAACTTTCCTCCTGGACCGTGGGCTCTTGCTTTCATTGGTTTATCTTTGGCGTATCCAACCTGCCAGGCTTCACTTGCAGTTCGCAGAGGTATAGAAATATCTTTATTGCTGTGTAGTCGAAAATAAAGGGTCAGAAGCGTAAACAACACTCAGCGATATCACACTGCACTTTTTGCATATTGATTTAAGTAAATCAGTAAATGTGAGGTTTTGTTTTTTAAAAGATGTCCTAAACATGTCAGGTAAATAGTAAATTATTAACTTAAATGCAAGATAGCCAAACTGAACTCTATTCCAGATTCCCCTTTGTTCTCTTTACTGGGGGTCGGGGTGGGGGGGCACAATATTGATACATGCTATTAATTTTATATTGTTGATTAAGTAATTTGTCCTCCAGATTTTAAAAAAAGGGTAACTGAAAAATCCAACCAGCATTAGAAATGATACTTTTAAATAGATTTCAGCAGCTGATAAGAAACTGTTAAACTTGGGGGTTAAAACTGAAATGGGCAATCACATGACAGTGACTTCTTAAAAAATATGTCCACTCAGTGGTCAACCACAATGTCAATGCCTGTGTTCAGTTTGCAGAGAAGTATGGAAACGTTTTCAGCCTGCGACTATTTGGTGGAAGAATTGTGGTCGTGAATGGCTACAAGTCTGTGAAAGAGGCCTTGGTACAAAAAGGAGAAGACTTAATAGATCGTCCTGTCATACCCATATTTGAACTAGCAGGAAACAAAGGTGGAGTTGGTTGTATTTTCATATTTGAAGTTGAGCAACATCAGACTTAATTTACACCATTTTGGAATTAATGTTTCTGTATGTTCCTAAAAGGTCTTGTGATGTCAAATGGGTATCAGTGGAAGCAACAGAGGAGATTTGCTCTTCACACTCTCAGAAACTTTGGTCTGGGCAAGAAAACCCTGGACTTATCCATCCAGCAGGAGTGCCAGTACCTCATAGAGGCTTTTGCAGATAAGCAAGGCACACAAAAATTAACTCACACTACCTTCAACTTTGAAGACAAACGCATGCACCAACAGCTACATACATTGTGTACTTAGGTATCATGACACCTGTTGCATGCGATTCATATAACATGCGTTGTCCAGTGACTCATCATATTTGATGTTTTGTTTGTGATGTTTTAGGTCCCAATTTTCTTTATTATTTTGACATGATGCAAGGGTTCCTCAGTCTTTTTTATGTATTTTACAGGAAAGCCCTTTAATACCCAGTCACTGATAAACAACGCTGTGTCCAACATCATCTGCTGTTTGGTGTTTGGGAATCGATTCGACTACACTGACAAGGAGTTTCAGTCTATTCTCCAGAAATTCAACAAGATTATGCATTTACAGGGAAGTTTGTCAGTACAGGTGAGAATACATCCAATAATTTTATTCATTATTTTATTCTGTAACTAAAATGTGTTTAATTTGAAACATTGCCGAAGAAATTTTATTGAAAACGAATACAGTAATGTCAGTCTACTAAAACTAAAAGGTATTCAAACTATGAGTCATGTAAATGTACACAAATATTAT